TTTTAGTTTAACTAATCGGTTTCGTACATTGATTTTCTACTCCTCTGACTGTAACACATGTTTATGCATAAGGTATGACACATTGCATCGGGTTGTCTCTTCCTTATCCACGTGTCAAGCGGATTCTGACGTGAAAATCTTAAAACTGTTGGAGTCAAACCTGTGGGTACCTTACGCACTTCAGTGCAAAAAACAATGGCGCAAATTGTGGTCACGTCATTTGTCAGCAGAGCTTAAAAGTGGATCCAAAACTGCAGAATTGCTTTGGTAAGAATTTATGAATGACGATAGACCACCACCATCGATGACCTGTACAAAAGAGCGTTGCAACTGTTTATGCCCAAATTCCACTGATAATCGTTCTTTAAATTGGGTTTAAATTATAAGTGGTATGGTTAACTAGGCCACCGAGTTTATTGCGCATTCCTTTTTTAATAAGGAAGTGTTTTCCATAAATCATCTTTTCGCTTCAGTTTTTGGTGGTAGGCTTGTTCTTGCAGTGTGACACGTGTCGATAACACAGCACTCTCCCCCAATGGTTCGCTAACAATAGTGTTTCTGTGTGTTTCGATTCAAAGGATCCAAGTAAGATGAGTTATAAATACGTGTATATCCTGCAGTGCTCAAAGCCTTTCCCACGATAACACAGTAGCAAAATATAATTATATTGGAGTATTAGTATTGCCGATGTTAGGTCACTTCGGACTAAAAAATTTGTTTTTAGGAGGAGGTTCAGAACCAAACTAGAATATATCACGAAATCCAGGAGTAATGGGACTAATCAGATCGTAAGTTATAAGCTAGAGCCCCATAGTAGATGAAAGGGATTTGGAAGCTACCTTATTTGAAATCCATGCACAAGATCTGCGCGGGAATCTTAATTTTTTCCTTCTTTCAAGTTCAGTGCATGCGCTGGTGCCTGTGCTGGCATTTAGCAAAGCCTCTGCGCATTTCATCCACCAGCCTCCTCTCCCCCTCGTGCGTCTACAAACATACGTTGACCCCACCGGCGCCCATGGTGTGCACGACTGCGCGAGCGCAAAGTGCGGCCGTGTGAAGGTATGGTGACCTTTAAATTGGAGGCCGCTTCTCCCCATCACTCCCAATTTGCCTGCTGTGGAAAACAGGTCTTTTGATGTTCATTTTTTGATCGCCAAGATAGAATACTTTCTGCGGAGTAAATCTTAGCGTACGTACACCCACACAATGGAAGAATGAAGCAGGGAATCGATAATGACGCCCTACAAGAACACCTGATTTTGGTTCACACAAAACGCAGCTTCACTATCAGCACGATCTAGTTTAAATAATACCACTCAAAATCTAGAAGGCGTCATAGTTCAGGCATTCATTAGGGAAAACAAAGTGCACGATTTTGATTTGTGTTTCAAAAACGTTTGTTATATATGGAAGGAATTTGGTTTTTGGTTTGAAGTGGAATATACTTGAGTTCATGTGCGTTAGTCGCGATCATAATTTCTGGCCATTTTCAAGACGGTTTGTCAGCTCCCTTACAAATAATAGGGGTTCCACATATAAAAAAAATCGGAAAAGTTTTGACTTGGAGAGTATTCTTGGCGTGATGTTGGTCAACTTCACTTACAAGCGAACGCCGAGACCCGATCAAGACTGAGGTATCCAAGGTCGATGAACAAGGAAGAAATCAGTTGAGACGCGTCATTTGTTCAATCACAAGACTTGGCTTTTTAAACTGTTACTGTGTGTTAATTTGTACGCAAGTTTCATGTGTGCTTAGAAACCAAATAAATGGCCAAAAATCAACACGGAGAAGTTGAACCTGAATCAAGCTAAGGTGTCCACCAAAAATTTATACACTTACTAAATACTTACTTAACATTCTTTGACTTATGTTTTCACTTTTAACAAATGTCTCCTTTGGAAATTTTTTTAGCCGAAATAAACAAAAAATAGTACTGTAGGTATTGGTAGCAACAGCTACTGATTTACAAGTTGCTTCTTCTTGTCCAAACCTACACGGATCCGAGCCTCAACGGTGTTCGCAGACGCCTGACTAGCCTTTGTGTACAATGAAATGGTGTCATCGATGTTATCGAGGTTATCGATGTTATCGATGTCATCGAGGAAGTTAAGATTAATTGCACAATACCGCAACCCTATCCTCGGAAAATCGCTGAGAACAAGTAGCCTAATATGGTCAACGTGCTTACAAAACTGCTGCGTTGTTTGGTCAAGTAAAAACAAAATTCAAGTCGAACAAAAGTGGTAGCTTTAATGTTCATGAATGGAATGTGATGTAGTATTTCTGTACGGTAAACACATGGTACTCCTAACCAGTTACATTAATTTCTCACCTTGCTACAGTCTGCGAATTTCAGACACATAGGCTTGACATCCTTTGTCTGACTGATAAAGTTGGTAAGAAATTTCATTGATATCCATAGCTTGGATAATGCCACTTTTCTAGTGTTGTATCCAAGGTCCAAGACCATCGCGAATTCGCACCTTTGAAATGCAAATCAAATAGGCTGCTTTCGGGTCCGAGCTTCCTAATCTTTTCATATTGAAAAGATTTTAAGCCATTGAAATGCCCTCAGAAAGTACAGCTCAAGCCGGTTTTCCCTGTTTCCACTTATTTCATTTGATAAACTGCATTTTAAACACAGTTTAATGCCTATCAACCCACCTGATTTGAATTCGGCATTTTTGTGTGCCTTTTCAACCAGTCATAATGAGCCAATCACGTTTATACTTAAGGCATTTGTTGTGGTAGACGGTTTCGGCAGTGAAAACATTATGATTGATACCTGACTTCTCTAGTGAGGTGGGTTTTGTAAAATTAGGGGAACCAGATGTGGAAATGTGAGCCTTTAGAAAATGTCAGTCAGCTTTTCCAATAGGTCTTGGTATTTAGATTAGCAAGATATCAATATTTTGTAGTTGGAGAGGGACATCAAGTTTTCCAACGAGTTGTACCTTTTGACTTCCATTAATCGCACTAGTAATTATTGATTTGGCCAGACAGATGGATCAGATAGAACTCTTCACTGTTGTACTGTCCGTAGGCATCCACGATTAGTGAGCTTTGATACAGAGAGGGTAAATTCTATGACTTTGAATACTTTCAAGAAAGTAGGTATAACTGTCAGTACAATTCTACTTCAGGCCTTGATATGGCTCCCTAATGCATCTCTGTAAACCTGTTTTATTTAGCAAGTAAAATTGTTCTTTTACACTTTGACCCTGTCTAAATGTCCCATGCTTAAAAAGCGTTTTATGGGATCAGGAATTGTATTTGAAATTATTTATTGCGACGAGATTTTCCGAGGTTAGGCCGTTGGCGTATGCTGACCATTGCCCATGAAAGAACGTCTAGAGACCTATCATCGGTTCGGACCACATCAAGGCCCATCCAGACCGCGTAATATTACTGACTTGTTTTCCTTTGAAGATGTAACTTTATGAAGACACGATCCCAAGGGAAGGACTTTGGATACCAGGCTTGAGCCAGTTTAGTGTGACTTCGTGTAACATTATTTTGGCTTCCCGTAAATGAATATTTAAACGCTTTTTCATTTACCAATTTTTGACACCTTGATATATAGCAGTGTAAAGGCCCGTTGTGTGTAGCATACAGAATGATCTCGACATTTGATTGGGCCACAGTGCCCTTCGAGGTCATCAGATTATACATAGTTTTTATGGACCTAACCTATGTAGATATGCCAAAAAATTGACAGTAGATGCATCAGAAGTAAATGAATTCCTAAACACGACTTAGCCGTGGGGGAAAAATCTAATAAAGGTCTTTTTAACATACCACCTATTTCACTACAAGTGGCATACTATTTAACTTAGAACCAAACTGTTATCCAATCTTATGGCCCGGATGAAATGCAGTAATGTGCATATATTGGTCAACAACACCGTATCATCAACATTTTTATCTGCTTTGGTGGAGGGGGGATTTGAATTTTGACAGGCCCGATTCACCGGTGTTGCATCCACACTTTCTTCCTTTGCGTTTATTCGTCAAATCTGCGTCCAAGTTACGGCCCCTGAAGCCACAAGCTGCAAAACTGATTCTACAGCCCAGCCTTTTATTTTTTGTTATTGCATGCTAGGGTTCATTGGTAAGAACGCTTGCTAGGATATTTTATAAATGCTGGTTCCACGGTTTCCGTTTGAAATTGGCTAATAGGAAAACTTCATGGCTAGAAAAGCACTTGAAAATTATTTTCAAATACTAAATGCCGATCCATTAGGACACCAGTAAAAGCAGTGTCGTAGTGAGCTTACGGTGCAAGATGGTGGTCCTTCTTAGCTCTTGATAAAGACAACCCGTCCCATCATCATAGGCTCAATTCATTTTATTCGGCTTTGTCTGCAAAGATTAGCATTAGGATACGAAAAGACCTATAACGGCATTTAGTAATGTCACTTTATACATAATGCTGATTTTTTTACAATATTAGCCTACAGTTCTAAACATTAATACGAGAGCCTTTTACCGAATAAAACCCTAGAGCATCTTGGAAATGGACATGCTAATAATCTGTTAGCCTTGCCTGACAAGTGGATCTCCTACTAATTAATTTCCAGTTTTAGTTAACAAAGATTTAGGAATTGGTTGTGTATCTTAGTATTTGTGCGCTGGTCTAAGCAGTGAGTTCTTGTGCGGAACCGAAAAAAGCTAAATGGTCTTATCACACCTCCGGTGGGGTCACAAAAACATAGTGTCAGTAGAAGAAGCACCCCGAACTGCTTGTCGTCTCCATTAGCCTTCCCCTACTTTTACTCTACTAAAGTAGAAAAATGACGGACACAAGTATAATGCGGACCCAAGGTAGTACGCAGGGAAAATGCGTTTGCACACAGACGTACACTGCGCGCTTTAGATAGTTGTGAATCCTTCAAAACACAAGGAAATGACTTGCGGATCTAAATTGATTCAATTTGTTTGCGCACGCTGTGCCCAGAGAGATGAAAGACCAAGTTAAGAAGGTTGGGCACTCACGTGGATGCGCGTACGAGCGCACTTGCGTAGCCCCCTCATCTCCCTCCATTGCCAGCCTAGCTACCAGAGGGGCAAAAAGGTGCACCAGTAAGGGAGCAGGGAAAAGAATGAAGAAGACAAGCGACGAGGCGCATAAGCTACTTCCTTTCCTCCACCCCACAGTCCGCCGCCCACTTTTTGCTTCCTCTCCAGCAGTCATGTTACTGCGCATTCCAGGAGGCACAAGCGGCTGTCCTCTTTGATGTCTCTAACAGTTGCGAGCGTGATTACCTCCCAGGCAAGGGCAGTGGCCGTTCAGCCGTGAACTTTATCTTTTTCTTCCCTCTCTTCACTAATATTGTACCTCACGTTCTCACCACCACTAATTTTGCTGTCAAAACGTCCTCTGGTGCCAGAGTAACCCCACTTTCGCTCAAGATTCCCAGAACAGCAGTTTTGCACTGCGCTGAAGGCTAGGGCTAGCACCTCACCTCAAATGTTACAAAACACGATTGAATGCACAGATTCTTCTATCTCAAATCAAACGTACAAACTTTAAGCATATTATTTGAGTGAAAATCTTGATCACCCTGGAATCTCATGGACAGTAAATTACTTTTTGTTAGATAACTTACAAACAGGGTAAAAAGACTTCAACCGATTTACGAAGATGATTACCAATATCAATTTAATTCCAGCGTCGAGCACTTTTAGTGGGCGTAGTGGACAAAACTTTCTTGTGCAATTCATTATGACAACACAAAATGTCGTTGGGATTTAATATTACTTTTGTGATTCTTTATAACTTGATTGCTGAAAGACATAAAAACGTTCTGTATGTAGTACATCTGTGCGAGTTTACGAACTTCATAGGTAACAGATCTGATTTTTATACCTAATTGCTTTGGCCCAATAGGATTTGTTTTAATAGATGAATTTGATTTTCAGGCTAACCTTTACTAAATGAACGACGATCAATTAAACATTCGGGTAACCACTCCTTTTTGAGTAGGCTCCCACATGCGTACGTTATCACACCTGTTAAAGGTCACATAAATGCACAAAATCCCTCCCCTCTTCACAACCAGTCCTTGTAGGGGGAGGTAACGGCACGTGTTTCTATCCCACTTTGCGATCCCCTTTTTCGGGGGTGGGGAGGCCTTGGTGTGTTTGGTTTTCCATGAATTAATTTAATTTAATCTGAACGTGTTATCCTGGTCGAAATAGGCTGCTAGAGGCCATGACCTTAAAACAAGTAGATTTATTTAAACTTAAAAAGTGAACCACGTGGTCGGTGGCTCAAATCAAGGACTAATTACGAGGAAGTGCTTTACTGATGGCTAGGAGAAATTGTCGGTCAATCTGTGCTAAATTTTAAGTAATATACATTTTGCATTTACCAGTACAACAGCGCAACCTTTGGGTATGACTATCAGAAAATTTCATTTGTTATGGATAAACTAACCAGAGTCCAGGACCCGACACACATGTTTGGTCGAAGACTCGTTCTCGACCTAATCAATATTTGAAACATTCTATTTAAGAATCGGCTAGAGGTGTTAACTGGAAAATCTTAAGACAGACATAGGAGCAGTAAATTAGTCACTGTTTTTGGTGTCTTAAATGAGGGTGCTGAGTTGGGTACACACACACACGCACACATTAAGGCTGGTTTTCCTACCCGCGTGCCCTCTGGAACCGTGGGATCTCATCTTTTCGTCTGAGATCCCTATGGGTTTCATGTTGCTCTATCGATTTCATGCTCAAAGAAAGCACCTTTCTTCTCCCACATTTCAGTGACGAGTTCTCCACGGTTACCTGATATTTTGAATCCCACGTTAAAGAATCACTTGCTGTCAGAAGGTCGAGGTGTTATCCGTACTCTCTATGATTATTTTATGCAGAACCTAAGTATTTTCACACAGATTTAAGGTCTCAATATTTAAGTAGGGGCAACGATTTTTCCTTGTTTTATTTTTTTACCTAAAATCTACTGTGCCATCAGGACTACACGATTTAATTATTTCCTTGGGTAATCCGTGTTCTGTAGAAGACGGGTAATGATGATAAATTGCTCTAACGGATCAAACATTTTAGTGAATTTTATAATTTTAGTGCCTAAAACGCTCCGATTGTACAAGTCAATGTACTGTGGACGGCATCTGGGTGAGACTTGTTAATTTTAATCTAAGCAGCAATATAGCACATTAGCAACTCTACAGCAGAATGAATAAGCATAACTAATCAATAAAATAAAAAGGATGAATTTGGAAATGACTCATAGCAAACACTCAAGTAGATTATTTCAAAAAAATGCATTAATGTCTTTGCGCTGAATAGAGTGAAGTGTATTTGAATAATTGAATGATTTGCTAACTTAAAACTAAAGACATTTGGGTTGGCCGGCAAATGTTAATCGAGAACCTATCTCGCAATAACTAATACGTTATCGTTACAATTACTGCTATATTGTGGTACTCCATACAGCTACAATTGCTTCATTTAAACGAATTACCCATTTTTAATTTACCCCAGAGTCCTCAAATATGACGAATAGATAGTAAATGCACTTGCTACCAAATACACGGAAGGCCAAGCCCCATCTTCGTCTGAGTCGGTATCTGCTTTGCAGCTGCTGGTGGCGTCGGTGTCTAATGCTACAAACAACCGCACATACATAAAGACAGATATGCTTCTATGCGACGTCTGCGGATTTGCACCTCGATTGTCCAAGATTGGACCCTTCTAGTTCTGGAGTCTAGACAAGAGTGCCGCCCCTTTTGGCCGTCGCAAGTACTCGAATATGATAAATGACTTTGGCTGCGGTACATCACAGGGCTTCAACCGACCAAGACACGTGCATGCTCCTGTGTGCCTTCTCCCATGATAACTACATTCCTGACTGGGCTCTTGGTCCTGTTGGCTGGACCTCTTTTGTGAAAGAAAAGTGATGCTGCAAGCAGAAAAGCAGGTGGCCAGATGATTAGGACACACATTGGGATAGGGGATGTTATGAGTCAAAGTCTTGGCGCTATTTAGACTACTTCTGTCCTTTTTTCATGACGTCTTCCAAGCTCTTCTGGGATAGTGCCCGTATTCTGGCCCTGGTTATCACAGATTAGACCAACCCCCGAACACATAATTTAGCAAAAACACTAAATATCAAATAAACAAAAATTTGGGCTATTGTTGGAGGTCAACAGCATAATCAAAATCGGATTTATAGACATGCTTACAGAAAAATTGACATGCCTGGTGCATCGGGAAAGGATTCGGTTTTCTTCGTGAACTTTTTATTTTGGCCATTACAAAATCTTCATTCGCCCAATGCCCCTGATTGTTTCAAAGTAGCATATCCAGTATTACTCAAATAACCACGCTACACAGTAGAACGGACAAGCCGTTATGATCAAAGTTGTAGTTCTCAGGTAGTTCTTAACTTTACTAATTTTTACTGCGAATTCCCACAATATCCGAATAGAAACCTAAATTAGGTAATTGCCACGCATGTGGTAAAAATAACGCTGGAGAGAGATGTGACACTGCTCTACGGTATTATGAGCTAGTTGAAGTGACAAATGTGGTCAAATGAGGACCTCGGTAATAACTAGGAGAAGCGCTTGCACAGCCTGGTCAGGAATTTGCAATAAACAAGTTCACCACATTTTCGACCCACCTTGCCTTCAGTTAAATGTTCTTGTAGCTCATGATAAAACCGTGAGCACAGAAGCTTTGGGAGGACCGAGGTTTTTTCCAAGATTTTAATTTTTTATGATGTCATCTCTTGTAAATTAATTCAAAACCAAGTCATACACTTAAGAAGACCACCTCTATCTGGATTGTTATTGCGCGCTTCCAGTACAATAAGACAGGACTAACTTTAGTTGATTAGTTAAAGTCTTTCAGAGAACCAACTTTTGAATAGGTTCTAGATCCGTTCACATGTCCAACAGGCGTTAGCGACGAGTTCATGCAGTCGCTGGTGCAGACTCCTATCAGAGCATTACGCCCACTTGATTATTTCCAAGGCCAGGTGTTTGTCGTAAACAACCTGTCAATGTATAGGCCATGACACCAAGAGGAAAATAGAACACGTTCAAATGGCAGCTACCACAAAGTCCGTTTTTGACGAGCTCCTACGTGCAAACATTGCAACACAGGACGCCTAATAACGAGACTGTGGCCAGTGCTGCAATTCTGACCCGGAACTTCAAAAGTTTGGGAAGCAAAAGTCAGCTTCAGCGTTTGTCAAGGCCCCTTTTTTGTCTTTAACAAAGACCTTCTGGCGCTGCAAACCCTCCGCGATCAGCCCACCTTGGTAACCTAGCAGCAAGCAACTTAATATCAAAATGTTGCATGGTCCGATATGAGATAAGACGTCTGAAGTAACAGTTGCATGAACGACTCGGCTTCTAAGGGGACTCAACTCTTGAACGATTTCCTTTGGTTCATCCACGTGTTCCTGACAAAGGGGTTGTAAGTATCTAAATGGTTATTGTAGCATAAATGGAACACTCAGATGTTTTTTCGATGACTTGAACCGACTGTTTCACCAAACAGTGAATGATCGCAATACCCAAGATAGGTGCAGTGTTTTTTGACAAAGGGATTTATAGAACAGGACCCATTACAACATTCAACAGACAAAGGAACGAAGTCCGAAATAAGCTTAATCGAAAACCTCCGCCGACTCAAGGTGATAACCCACTTTGCATGGGGGCGTAGCATACGAATTTATGTGGCATTGTGGTGTGTTTAACTGTAAATTAAGAACTCCGTTATCTAACCATGGTGATGTAGGATGTTGGACAGAATTAGTAAACATGATTTTCGAGAAAACTCGATGAGCGCAGATTATGGGCTACGATGTCCATTGATATAAATGGCTGTCGGAACAACTCCAAAAGTACGTGGATAAATCGATATAGCTCCATTTTAAATTTTATGGTCATTGATTGTATTGGTTGATTGAGCATATTGATTAATGACTCGAAAATGTGAATCCGTTGCACTTAACCTCGCCTGTCTTGTAACTCCTTTAACTAGTCAACTATGTACCTTACATGACAAGTTTACGACGATACCCTAAGCGTCCCTGATTAATGTTAACCGAGGTTTGCCAGTTGCAAAGAGAGTGACCAAAGGCAAATTTAAAATTGCAGTTTTGTTTGTAGGTAGCAGCAGATCCTGGTCGATAGTTGAATGGATACGCAACATTGGAAAGTGGTAAATGTCTCGGTTTGTAATAGGACTATAGGTTAGTTTCTATTGATCAGAGCCGCATTAAGATAACCATTAGTTCATTATGGGATTTTTAAATAAACATCATCACGGTTAAAATTACGTGCTTTTTTTAACGACAGAAAATCGTGTACGAGATCTCGTAACCGCTAAACATCCTGACCATACTTACATACTTCTCCTCATCAGAACTACGATTGTCTAGATATGACGATGTGAAAGAAATATGTTTTGGTAAATCAGCAGGTTATTTCAAGTTTTTAATTTTTATGGCAGTCGTGTTGGCAGCTAAAGGCTGTGGATGGGCTTACTTGTGCTTTTTATAATGGTAACGTTATGCCTTTGATGTTTAGACATTTGTCGCATTCATTGTTTATACCAGGCCCCACACCCATGTTTCGGTCTGTGTTTTCTGATTTCAACGACGCCTAGCGCTAGACCGCCATTCATAGCACCCTGAACCATCTCAGCACTATAAATATAAGCTGCGTGTACTTTTTAACATCACAAACCATTTTTATCATCTAAAATACATTGATGATAGTTTTACTTAGGAAGTGAACGTGAAAAAAGCACTTGTTATGCAAAATTAAATTTGTTCACTTAAGAAATACCCAGTCCCTAATCGATGTATCATAGCCCACGAACGCCTCTGCTTAATTTGAAGTGTTTTAGCTGGCGACTTTGGGTCGAAATTTTTTAATGGATGTTTTATACGTACTCGTGATTTTCAATGCATTTAGCACATCTTTTTTTCCACAGGAATAAGGATGCTAAAGATTATTGGAGTTGTTATATTCTTATAACCTCATTCGAACCATGTCACATATTCATATAAATAAATAGGGAGAAATTAGGGCTACTGATTTAAAATTCGTTTACTAGAAATTCTGAGACAAGATACGTATGACTATGATTTCACTACTCAAATTACCCTTTTGGATCGCCTGCTTTGTGCTTTGAGGGGATACATTTTGAGCTACTGCACCAACTTAAAAGCTCTCGATCCAAATATCCTCCCTTGAATCTTAGCTCAAATGTAACTTTTATCTTCTGGTTCACAGCATTTCCTTCTATGAGTTACATCTTTCAAATTCCGGCAAGTCTAATATAACATTTAATGCACACATTTTGAATTCACGAAAGATATGGCATGGTTCCAATTGTAAAGCTACCTAGAATATAGTCAGTTAAATCATACTTTATAACATAATGCTTTATTGACGCTCAGAACTCTATTAAGGCCTCTATTCGCTAGCGAAAGCAAACGTATAAAATCTACTGAACAAATGTGTGCTACTGGTTCAACTTGAGTAGCATGCATGCGACTTTTGGCATTTGCGCTTAAGTATCAAACAGTACAGTTGCAACGATAATCTAAACACTAAAATCCTGAGATAAAAGGCGGTCCAAGCACAACTTTCAAACTGAGACAATTCAAATGACACTGCTTACACATCGAAAACACAAAAAGTATCTTTTAATACTAATATCTTCAAAAAACTTCGAGTCTCGACTGAGGAGTTACTTCATTTGGTGTCCACAAAACTGTTCAGCCTGCAAACTGTGTCCCTTTATAATTTTAAAGAAAACTATAATCCAGGCTTGTCAAAGTGGCTTGCTACATTAGTAATTTAAATTAGAAGAAGAAATTATAACGGTAGAATTTTCAGTATTACTAAATAAAACGGTATCACTTTTCATGGGTAGTTTAAACATCGTTTAGAGCGAGTATTATCTTGTGAATCAATATTTTTTTGTCGTACAAACGATGTACTGACATAAGAAGCCATGCTGGTCAATTGTACTCAGGCACCTCATGGGCGCCTTCGTGGGAAACGCCTTCCCCTTTTAGTTAATTACTTCTGTCAATCAAGCAATATTAATCTGCTGTTACTCATCTCTTGGTGTTTTGCTGCAAATTTGACCTCAAAGTTTTGTTGTCATTTGAAAACCGCTCGTTGTGAACATCAACTCTGACAACCTGCGCTGTGACGCATAACAAACTAAGAATCGAGTGTGTAGCAGAATTATAGTAACACTTGTCCTCAGAGAGCCAGAGAGAGAATAAATGGCTTAAGCATTTGGACCATAGTATAATATCATTAGATGAGGCAGATCACGTGCCTCCATTGTCGTTTGTTTAAACCTCTCAAAAAGTTCAAGCAAAAATGATAAAAGCAGTAAAGTGCAGAGCATTTAAGTTTAATTGACATGTACTTGAATAAACCACTGAAATATACACCCACTGGAGTTGAGGTAGCACACGCGTCATTATTATTGGTTATTTCTACAGACATTGACACGACGCATTGGCCGTGTATCGTTTCATGCTTTGGTGTGATTGTGGAGGAGTGGGTTGGCTTTCTGTCAAAGACACGACAGGATGAAAGTAGGGTTCGAATTGGGAGGACGTAGCCCGATTCGGCATGCCTGTGACAAGGTTTCCTTTACTTGTCGATTTGACCCTCTTTCTTAATTCCACCTCGCTCCATATCCGAGAGGTCCATTTCGTTTCCGTTATTGCTGCCTGCCATTGCTATCTCATCGTCCAAGGAGAAATTCGGGTTCTTCTGGGCAGAGGCAAAAAAGGTAGAGTTGCTGTTGCTATTGGTGTTGTTAATATACCCCGCATCATATGAAGAACTCGTGTGTAGCCGAATTTGGTGTTGTGAGGAGACTTTTGACTGCCACCCACCTGTTAGTAGGCCTGAATAGAAATCCGGCGTCGCAACAGCTGTAGGGTTTGAAAAAGGGATACTAGATGTAGGTAGGGAAGGGGTTGAGGACTGTGTAGATGTTGCAGGGTAGGTAAACCTAGATTGAGGTGATGGTTGCTGGTAACATCTGTCATTGAGCCAAGCTGAATCGAACCCACCTCCATCGCCGTAAAATCTTTTCGGTGGTGCTGAAAGTGACATCACTCCCATAGGCTTGGTTACTCCAGCAGCTGACGAAAGGTACTTTGGAAAAAAAGGCAGAAATCGGCTTGGCGCCATTGGATCCGTAGTTCCACTACTTATTTCGAAATTGTGACGGCTCACACAGAACTGCATAGGATCAGGATTACGTATGTGGAAGTTTTGGTTTGGAAGGTTCAGAAGAGGAGGTTCTGAGAGACGCTGCTTATTACCAGGCAAGCAGTGCTCCTTCTTCCACTTCATTCGGCGATTCTGAAACCAGATCTTGATTTGCCTCTCTGACAGACTTAGCGTATGAGCAATTTCTAGGCGCCGTTTTCGTGTCAGATACTTGTTGTAATGGAATTCCTTTTCAAGCTCCAGTATCTGTTGTCTAGTGTAGGCCGTCCGGGTTCGCTTTGGATCGCAGGAGGAACCAACCATGTCCAAACCTAAGTCATCTCCCCCTGTTCCACCGTCTGTACCACTTGCAGCATCGCTATCTTCACTTCCCTGGTTAAGAGAATCAAATGATTCAGGCACGTGCTCTAATTTTTCGGAGTCAGGGAAGGATTTCTTCGAGATTTGGTCATCGTCAATCGGTCGTTTGCGAACCTTTGACCCCTCATTGAGTTTCTGGGAGCCAGAATTCGGTTGTTTTCCAGATTTTACGGGACCTTGAGTCACAATGCCTAAAAAGGAAGAAAGGCCGTGGTTTACTTAAATTAGGTTGCATTTTTATCCAGGCCGACGACGAATTAGTCAGCCTTGTCGGACAGACTTTTCTCTAGCTCGTTATATTCAAAGACGTTGTCTAGTCACTGCGCGTGCACGCGCGTCTAACTATCCGTCTGCCCGCTGACGTCGAAACCCGGCTTTGCTGTTTGTGTCTACGTGTACAAAGGAAGGCCTGCCACCAGCCTAAACACAAAGTCGCTTTTTATGCGTTGGTATTTGCGGCATATGGCGGTGAAATTCACGCGCTGGTAATAGCGGCATCGACTTCAGCCCAAGCACCCTTTAATGACAAGCCACCAGCCATCGTTGCTGACAAGCCCCGTCATGATGGGTCTTCAAGGTAATCGTTCTACATTCTAACCTCTTTGGATTGAACGTGTCTCAAGACAACTGGAAAAGCGATTCATCGATGCGAATTAAGATAGGCTGCTAAGTGGATTATAAATTTGAGAATCAACACATTAATCTGCGTCTTTTAGAAAGGAAATGGAGCTTGTGACATGTCAGCATGGCGCACCCATGGACATTTTTGGTTTAAATTTTATAACAATTGCATATATGCTAAATTATATCTGAGACTCAGCTGTGAAGGTTTTGGTTACCACAAGAAACTCCTTAACAATACAAAATTCTCTTTGTAATTCAAGTCCTTAAAAAGTCCAATGGATGAGTAGATATTGATTTTCTATGTACGTGGTGTTACCAGTTAATGAGGGCAAAACAACACAGATCTAACACTTTAAATTTACCAATTCAATGTGACATCCCATTTATCCTTAAGGCAGTAACAGGTAAACAAATGCCGAATAAATAATTGAGGAAATTCCCGAGGTCTCATGACCTAGGACTGAAACTACAGCAAGCAGTATTAGACTGGGTAAGCTTTGGCAGCTAAAGGGTAACCTTAGCAATAGTCTATTCCGCCTGTGCGAATGTCTGACAATCGGCGGAAGCTTCAAAGCTAAGGAGAAGGAAGGAGGAAGCGGACTCGGGGGCGGGACGACTGCTTCAACAAAAAACAGAATACGCACGCACGCATGCTTGTCTGTGGTTGCTTGTGCGCGTTACGCAGCTACGTACAAACGTCGTATCTCGCGGTCTAGCAGCTGCGTTGCAAGCGGCTTCTTTTGTTCACCTTTGCCACCCCACCTCCACCATGACTCTTGGCGTGAACACGTATACCATATAGTATATAAACACTTATGTTGCAAATGTGCATATAGGTCGTGTGTGTGCATTGGTTGTCACATCCAATCTAAGATTCTTTTAATTATTTGACCTTTAGTTGACCTTGCGAGTGTGTCCAAACGTCGCATCGTCAAATGCGCGCACACGCGGCGTGCCCGAGAGACCATGCCGATGCCGCCTACTTGTTGATGTGCGCCGGCGTGTCTGCCACCCCCTACCCTGCCATGTGCCCGTGTCTGTTTCAAAAGCCTCGGCACGGGGTGATGCATTAACATTTGACTATCAGAAGACCGAAAAGAGGGCTAAACATGCGGTATTTCCTCCAGTTGACGCCTGCCTTGCGCGGTGATAAGAAACACGGAGCGGTTAAATAGGTCTACATGATTTAACCTTACAATGTAGGTGCATACCGAAACTATTATAACTACTAGTATTTTGTGATCCAATTTGTGGCAGTTTAATACCGCTGCTCCGTACAACACGAGTTTATGTCCAAAAACATTTAAGACTTCTGAGTATCCTTTGGCAAATTACATGCGCTTGATAGTAAGAGGTTGGGACAGTTTGGCTTTTAAATTCATGTAGTCATCTGGAATTTCGTATGTATTTAATTGTAATGTGCAAATGTAACTAAATAAAACCCATTTTCAAAGTAAATACTCATTAATAGAGCCAGATTCAATGGACAGGTAAATTTATTGGTTAGAATACCAAAACGCTCCACTAGGCTTGCAATATTAAATTAAACTTTTCAGCGTTGACTCTATTTCACATTATCATTCTCCATGATGCTGCGACAATAATCATTCCTTGCATAACATCGCACTCTAAGTTGAAAATCTCGTTCAGCTACATAATATTAGTCATAGTGTGACAACAGAGATGAACCCTTCATGATTTAAAAAGCAAAAGGAAACATATGAATAAATTAACTTTTAATTAAGACTTTTTGGTGCCTCCTATCCAATGGTTTAAAGACATTCTTAAAATGATTCGAGCTGAAGCCAGTAATCCTTCTCGGAAAAAATTATTAATTTCGAATACTTGGTGCAAGATTTACAAATCAAAAGAATAACCCAATGAAACGAAGTAAATTCCTTAAATCATAAGGGAGAAAACATGATAAAAATGCCGAACATATAACACTGATGTTTATTTTTTGGATGACTGTTTTCACATGTAAACACTGACTATGAATTTAAAGAGGTTTAATGAAGGCTGTGGTGATAGTATGTCGATCCAGAGTATGCATGGAAGCATTAACACTAAGTTGACTTAAGACAAAAAGCATGTAAGTTGGAAAGAAGAAAAGTCGAGTGAATGTCTGGCATCCGTACTTTTCATTATGATTGGCAAGCGAATATACGAATCATCAATCGACATTTAGAAAGAACATAAATACAGTTGCCTACTTCCAGTTTTTGACATCTTCTAGTGTGCATGTGTACCTCACACACAGTGGAAGTTAGACAGGGAAAGCAAGCAGGAGGCGAAAGAGTGAAGGAGATCAAGGGTGATTGGAAAAAAACTGCTCTATATTGGCATGAAGATACAAACTAATAGACCTTGCCTACTGTGGATGATGCTGCTGCTTCGGTATGACCTGCTGCCGCCTTTTTTCCTTCTCGGGCAAATTAATATACGAGGCGCCTTTCTGGTCAAAGCTAAATACCAAATACTGCTACTGCTAGCATTGGTGTGCATGTATTGCAGGCTAGTGTGCGAAGGCACGATTTCCCTGAATAGTTAGGGCTATTTTTCAGTTACTTTCTCAGGTGCAGTGTTGGTACAAAACCGCAATACTAACCCGTGACCTTGATCAGGACTTGGAACATTCGAATTACCATCATCCCTTATATCTGCAGTTCCTGCCAAGACAATTATAAAAAGGAGTCTTTATTCAATAAATCCGGAATACGGTTCACAAAGTCTACCTACATACTACCGTCGTCATTCTCCGTACGGAATGTTTTCTCGCTGACAAACCCCTGCCAGGAGAAGGCGAGGACGGTGACTTTTCACCGACCACTTTCTCTAAGTCAGTATAATCGCAGAGTTTCAGCTCGAACTCTCTATCTCGCTCACTTTACAGGACTCGTTTACTAACGGCTTCTCCTGTCGTTCGGTTTTAAATCGAAAATAAATATTCAATCATTTCTTTGGTCAACTACATTGTACATGATTTCTGTAAGTAACATAATGTAACGAGCATTAAGAGAAAGAGGAGTAGCTTGTTGGGAGTTGTAAAAACACAAAACTTCATCTTTCATTTACTCAACTGCACGTTTTTTTGCAACAGATGTGGGATCAAGTGTTTGTGTTTTCTCAACGTAACGTAGACAATTTTTTAGTGATATAATTTACTTTCTCTTCGTTTAGTTTGTAGTACACAATTGCAAATTGACTTTGTAGATCAATAATAGTAGGCCTTTTTAATCGAACTGAACTAAGAAATGTGAATTCATACATGTTCTAACAAATTAAGCTTGACACGAGAAGCCAAAAACTGTCTACTTACTTTTAGTGGATGCTAATGAACAAAAGCTTAAGGACAAGTGGTGGATGCGATTTAGTCACTATGATGTTGGTCTTAGAAACAATTGGCTGCTTCGTATTTTTGGTTTCTCTTCGTGCCTCTGACTAACACCACGTCGCATTCCTGCAAATTAGCATGCTAACCACAGCCTGCTTGAAATAACGCTGGGCAATGCAATTTCACTAATTATTTAGACTTGGTCCTTCCATCGACCACCATCGCTTTCAAGTCGATTACTTTACAGATTAGACTCGACGCACCCTATCAATCAGGAAATGGAAGTTTTTAATTTTTAAGTACCTTTCAAGATGCTAATGCATCACCTGTGCCTGACGTCGTCCCGATCGGCAACAAAAGCAACCCGCAAATCAAAGCATGTTAATGGACTATTATACGAGCAGTGGCCTGCCTTGAAAGCCCCTTTGATCGTACTTCGAGTGAGGGCTAGTATAATATGGCAACCCACCTGAAATAAATTCGAGAAATTTTTACCAAGACAGCTACATTGTTATGCTACTTTTAACACCTTTTGACAAATCGATGTCTTTTAAGGTGAATGAGCCTGACAATCTGAACACAAGTTTGGGAATTTAAGAAGAGCGAATAAACAGTTAGAACATGAACCTAACTTGGAAAATTTTTTGATACAGCTTGGAATAATATGTTAGCCAATTATCTTTGAAATGAATTTCTCCATTTTTTAGTGTGGTTAAAAGTAGCGCCAGTCTTTTAGAGAATTTAATGCAGCATTATTGCCTGGCATCTCAAAGTGGAACTTTACAGACTAATTGCCACCCTAAAACTCTTGAACACAGATTCACGAATGCGCAGCTTTGGAAACTGGAAAAAATTGTTATTTTTGTGACTGTGACGCTTGACTGATTTAGTGGTTTATCAAAAAAGACAATTTTGTTCCCATAATGTGCGTGCTGTTTAATTTCAAGGGGTTTTGAGTCCCACATTCACACCATAGAGTGCTTCTATTTAGGACAGTCGATGCGCAGCAAAGCTTACTTACATGCATAATGAATTCATCCTCATAGTAAAACAACAAGTCAGTCTAATTGGCTCCAGAGACCACAGTACCTAACCCCAGATACATAGTAAGGAACAACCTAGAATGTCCTGTTAGCTAGTCACTTAAACCAGTCACCCAGGTGTCAGCACTACCCATATCGAGGCATAGGAACCGACAAAGTTAAAGGGTAACCCCAAGTGGTTCGTGTGTTCGCTTCCACAGGAGGCCGGGCACTCACGCACATGGGCGCACACACAATTTCCCCGACCGGTAATCAAAGACCACGACACACGCAAGTGCAAACACGCTTTAGCCTTCATACACGCATGCGCATACACACATTCCTCTTAGCTGCCTTCATGTATACGTGCAGCAGGAGAGGTATACACGTCTAAGTGTTGTCCTCATTCTTCTGTCTGCTGTACATGTTTGCGTTTTTCCTTGCTTATACACATTCCAAAAGCTCACAAGCAGTGGTTGTTGCGTTCATTTTGAAAGTAAGTTCTCGATAATGACGTCAGCATAATGAAACACATAGAAAGTGAATGGTTTTATCTACTTAACGAACTCATAACAGGAATCCTCACTCAAATTACTGTTTTCAAGCAATGGAAAATTATTTATTTACTACAAAAATGGAAAGAGCTATTCTGCAAAGTTCGCAG